TTTATCCCTGAGAAATCTGAGTTTGGAAGAAAATGTGCAGAAGCCTCACCGGGTAGAGGAGCAGGAGGAGGTGGCGCTCCGGGCCCCTGGACAGCCGCAAGGTGGAGGGTCCTGGGGCGGGACGGTGGCAAAGCTCTCCGTGGGAGGCCACGTGTTTGCAGGACGGCCGGCTGCTGTGTTTGCCCAGCTCTGCAGAGGGCGACCCGAATCTCTGCAATGTGTGTCTTACTTTTGTCCCGCCTGGGTTTGTAGCCATAAAATGAAGTCTGCTTTCGGAACAGAAAGGATCAGTGAGTCCGACTGAGCTGGGAGGAGCCCTGTCTGGATTTCCCTGGGATGCCACTCTCTAGGCCATAAAAGGCCACCTCCCGGGAAGCCTCACTGGGTGTCCACCGAGATACGCCCGAGTGTGTCAATGAGTCCGTGCCGAGAGTTGTGTTCCCAGCTGTGCCAAGGGTGCACAGGGGAGGCACAACAGTGGCTCTCTATGACTCAGGCCTAAAGGGCGGGAGGAAGAAGAGAGAGTAATTGCCACTGTGTGAGTCAGCTGTCCCTCCTAGGCCGGCAGGTCGCCAGCCCTTGTCATTCTCTTCTGATGCCAGGCTATCCCTCTGCCCATTCCCCACCACTGCCTGGAGGATTGCTTCTCCGTGATCCATTGTCAACACAAATTGGTCTGTAGATTCAATAGCACCCCAATCAAAATCCCCATGGAGTCCAAAACTTCTGCTCTGCAAAAAAGCATTGTCGGCTGGGTGCAGTGGCTCACGCCTGTAATCCTAGCGCTCTGGGAGGCCGAGGAGGGAGGATTGCTCAAGGTCAGGAGTTCGAAACCAGCCTGAGCGAGACTCCATCTCTACTAAAAATAGAAAGAAATTAATTGACCAACTAAAAATATATATACAAAAAATTAACCGGGCATGGTGGCACATGCCTGTAGTCCCAGCTACTCCAGAGGCTGAGGCAGTAGGATTGCTTGAGCCCAGGAGTTGGAGGTTGCTGTGAGCCACGGCACTCACTCTAGCCTGGGCAACAAAATGAGACTCTGTCTCAAAAAAAAAAAAGATTGTCAATTCTAGCACTCTGGGGAGGCTGAGGCAGAAGGATTGCTTGAGCCCAGGAGCTAGGCTGATGCCAGAGCACTCTAGCCTGGGTAATACAGTGAGACTCTGTCTCAAAAAAAAAAAAAAAAAAAAACATTGAGAAGATAAGCCACAGACTGGGAGAAACCATTTGCAAAAGACATATCTGATAAAGGGCAACTATCCAAAATATACAAAGAACTCTTAAAACTCAACAACACAAAAACAAAGGATCCAATTTTAAAATGGGCAAAAGATCTGAACAGATAAACACCTCATCGAAGAAGATGAACGGATGATGGATAAACACATGTAAGGATGCTCAGCATCGTATGTCATCAGGGAATGCAAATTAAAGCAACAGTGAGAGGCCACATCTCTTGGCCCAAATCCAGAACACCGACAACACCAGATGCTGGTGAGGCTGTGGAGCAACAGAAACTCGAGTTCATTTCTCGTCAGAATGCAAAATGGTGCAGCCACTTTGGAAGACAGTTTGGCAGTTTCTTCGAAAACTAAACACACTCTTACCATATGATCCAGCAATCATGCTCCTTAGTATTTACTCAGATGAGTTGAAAACTTACATCAATACAAAAACCCGCACACGGTGTTTATAGCAGCTTGGAAGCTTGGTTGCCAAAACTTGGAGGAAGCAGGGCATCCTTCAGTAGGTGAACGGATAAACATTCCCGAATAGTACTGTGGTGTAGGTTAAGTTGTGGTATCATTTTGAGACCAATCATTCAGAGTTTAAGAAAATAACTGAATATTTTAACTGTAGATATTATGAGGTCTTTAAATGCCAAAAAATATTACAGTTTTTCAAATTAAAAATAAAAAGCCACTGAAGCATCCTACATGTTATAATTTGTAATGAGATAAACATTGTTCACTATAAACAAAAAGCTTTTGGGCCTCCCTTTTTTTAAGAGTCAAGGGTTCTTGAGACCAAAAAGTGAGAAAACCACTGTGAACTATTCCTCGCTGTGATAGCTCCACTTCTTGCTATGATCTCATAAAGGGCCAGTTACAGAATTCCAAGTACTGGACTGTCTAAGTCCCTGGCTGGGCCTAGATTTTGGTCCCTCTAGCTCAGGAAGCTAATTTTTGGTGACCTGAGGGATTTTTATCAAAGCTAACTCTTTTTTTTTTTTAGTCTTTGCTTTCTGTCTAGTTTACCTGAATTTCTTTCTCATTTTCCCCTGATTTTATTTTTCCTTTATTCTCCTATTTTTCCTTTTTCGTTTTTTCTCTCCTTTTTTCTTCTTTTGTCTTTCTTTTTATGTTTTGATTTTTCCTTATTCTTTTTGTCTTTTCACATTTTTTTCTTTATTCTTTTTTGTTTTTCTCATTTTCAAAAAATTTTCTTGTTTTCTAATTCTTTTTTCCTTTATTCTTTGTTTCTCATTTTTCTTTGTTTGGTTTATTAATATTATTAGTTGATAATATGAATTAGTGTTGTTAGCAGTCAGTCCAACATGCTGCAGGACCTCTTGGCCACGTCAGCTGAGGAGGAGACCCACACTGGCAACTCCAGGCTCCTCAAGACCCTTGCCAAGGGATCCTTTGCCAAGGTGAGGTTGGCCTGGCACACCCTGACTGGGACAGAGGTGACAGTGCTCCAGAGACTATCCTGTGAAGTCCCCTTCATGAAGGCCTTGATCACCCCAACATCGTGAAACTATGTGAAGTGATGGCGACTGATAGTCATGGGTGTGCGGTGGGACGGGTGTTTGGGTGCCTGGCAGCTCACGGCAGCACGTAAGATAGAAAGGCCTGAGTGCGTTCCTCCAGACAGCGCCCGCGGTGCAGTCCCGCTCCTGAAGGACCGCAAGGCAGAGTAGCTGCTGGGGACGCTGGCATGAACACCAAGACTGCAGGCTTTGGCTTTAGCAGCAAATTCACCCTTGGCAACAAGCTGGGTACCTTCCCTGGCAGTGCCCCAAACTCTTTCAGGGCCAAATGTACTTGTCCTCACGGTGGATACGTGGAGCCTGGGGGCATCATCAGGTCACTGCCTCTTGATGGGCAGAACTTCAAGGAGCTGCAGGAGCAGTTACTGAGAGGAATATTCAGTATTCCCTTCTCCATATCCATGGAGTGTGAAAACCTGCTCAAGAAATTCCTTCTTCTCAGCACCATCAAGGGAGGCTCTTTAGAGGAAACCATAAAAATCCATGGATGAACACGGGCCATGAGAAGGAGCAGAAGCATTATGTTGAGCCACTCCCTGGCTTCAGGGGCCCTGGGCAGACTGAATTGATGGTGCCATGGGTCATGCATGGGAAAGGATCCAGGACTCATTGCACGATGAAGTGTCTGCTTCTGAACTACAGGCGACCTGAGCTGGAGGCCTATGCCACCCCCCTAAAGCTACCTCGACACTCCAGCTGGTCCCATCCCGCAAGGTAGAGGTTAGATTTTCTGCCAACCAGAAGCAGCAGAGGTTCAGGAGCCGGCTGTTCCCACCTGAAATCCCTGCTCTGAGAATAGTCAAGGGAGCAACAGAGAAATCAGGGGCCCAGAGAGGACTAGGAGGCAGGGCAGAAAGGCAGCACAGTGCCCGCCAGTCCCCTACCTAGCCTGGAGACAGGGACCACCTAACCTGCATGGCCCTGTGGCCTTCACCTCCACCCACACCCCAGCAGCAGTGGTGGGGCCCCAGATGGAACCAACTTCCCCCAGGGTGTCTCCTCCAAAGGAAACTCCCTCCACACTGGGCAGCGTGGACAGGTGCAGGATCTGCAGAATTTGCTCCATGGTGTGACCCCAGCCTCTCCCTCTGGCAACAGCCAGAGCCAGCTGGGGGCCACTGGGAAGATGTTCACCTTCCTGTGCAGACACCTGCATTTCAGGTCAGCCAGCAAGAGCCAGCATGAGGCTGAAAGCAGAGTGGAGACTGAGACCTCAGGTGGTGGGCAGAGAGGCAGTGACCAACACAGGAACGCATGTGGGGAGGTCCAGCCCCCTCAGTTCCATGGAGCTTAAGGAGATGGTCCCGAAGGTCGCCTGGTGCTGGATGCAAACAGCTGCTGGTGGGAGCGAGCAGGACGCACATGCTGCTCTGCACAGCCCGCCTGGCCAAGACGGCCTGGTGCGGTGGAGGATGCAGATGTGCAAACTGCCAGGGTGTTGTTCAGAGGGTTTGGATTAGGGGGAAATCCTACACCTCTGTAGCCTTCAAAAACATTATCTCCAAGATAAATGATGAACTGAAAGGCCAGCCAGGAGCCACCTGGGAGAAAATACACAAACACACACACACACACACACACACACACACACACACACACATATACTAAGTTATATTTAAATGACATGGTTTTTTTTAAAAACACACCCTGTTTTATGACTATAGCTGTCACAAGACAATCATCTACAACTTTTAAAGGGCAGGCTCTGACTCCTTGGAAATGCCCTTGTGACCCACCTGAAAAACAATAAAAAGAAAACAAAAAACACTCATAGGAAACCAAAGCCTGGGAGACCATCCGAAGAATGGGACAACTGTCAATGAATGTAAATGGGAGTATCCTGATGCTTCCAGCAAGAAAAACAATCACCACAGCATCAGGGTAGTTCACATCCGTATGGTAAACACTGCTGTGAAACAACCACTCTGATGTGAGTGAGCCTGAAACAATCCCAACGTATTCTCTCCCAGGTCCTGGAGCTTGGCTGGGCTCAGCTGGGTGGTTTCTCTGCCCCTTGCATCTCTGCTGGGGTCACTCCTGTGGGTACATCCTGCTGGGGGCTGGGCTGGGCCGGGCTGTAAGGCTTCAGAGGATTCTCTCACACTCGGAAAGGCTTTGGTGCTGATTGTGGGCTGGAGTGCCTTAATTCTTCTTCTTCTTCTTTATTTTTTGTAGAGATGGGGGGGGTCTCACTATATCGCCCAGCTGGTCTTGCAATCCTGGCCTCAAGGGATCCTCCCACCTCAGCCTCCCAAAGCACTGGGATTATAGGCATTAGCAACCATGCCTGGCCATCCTTAGTTCTTTTTTCTGTGGCCACTTTGTCACAACAGGAGGGCCAGTGCTTCCTAGAGCTTGGTGGCTGGGTTGCAGAAGGGAACATTGGAGGAGGACTAGCCCCAACAGGCAAGTGCTTTTCAAACCTCTCCTTGCCTTGTTCTTGCTGATGTCCTATTGGCCAAAGCAGGTCACACAGCCAAGCCCACTGTCAGCTTGGGAAGGGATTGCACAGGGAGGAGTGTGCTGAGAGGCGTGACTCCCTGGAGGACCAGTGAGTGGTCTATCACATACTGCTACGGAGCAGGGCACAAGCCTCGTTTTGGGAACTGGAAGAAAATGTTCCTGGTGGTGAACTTCATGGCTGAGTGTCTGCACACCGCAAAAGAGAAAGCAGCACCCCATGGTACGTGTGAAGGCCACTGCCGATGGTGTCTGTCTATGGTCATTCTGTGCCGTCCTCTACCACAACTCCCAGTGAGGCAGGGTCTGACTTAGATGCTGCAGTGTCCTGCCAATGCCTGGAGTTTCACCAGTTTGGGAACACAGGGAGCCCAGTTTTGTGGAGAGGGACAAATCTACTGTCGAGGTCACACCACTAAGAGACGTTGCTTTGACACACTGATATTCAGGACAGCATCCAGCTTGGCCGAGCACAAGTGTTGGTGTCAAGGTCACTGTCAGTAGCCTGGCTGAACCTCATCCGCTGGGGAAATGGGGTTTGCTTAGTAAGGACTGAAGGTTTGTGAGTTGAACCACCATTTCTCTATTCATCTTTCTCATCTCTCCTAACCCTCCCTTCCCAGTAAGTCCCTAGAGTAAGTCACTTGTCATTCACAGCTGTCTTCTCTTCCTCTCCCCTGTATTCCAGCGGCCACTGTTGTCACTGATTTAGTGTCTGCAGTCCTGTTGGCCCTTCAGCTCTGGGAAGAGAAGAATCGGGACATTTGCTTCTCACAGGAGACACAGTGCCCAGGAACGCGGTGTTGAAATTGAAAATTGACAAATGCTTTCCCTTCTCCTCTCCCACCACCTCTCCCTGCTAAGCGCCATTTACCTTTGAAGCTGCTGAGTAAGAAGCACAAGGCCAGTGACCTCGGACCTCTCTGCCCAGGTCCCGGATGAGAACTGCGGGGTCAGGGTAAGTGGCATTTGGCTGGAGTGATGTAACCCCTGCCCTTTGACATCCTCATGTAACTCAGCTGTCAGTGGGGGCCCTAGTGTCCTTTGAGGGGCAAATATAATGGGCTCAACCCCCCATTCCTTGTGTGATGGGACCTCCAGCCAACTGCCCAATCTCAGTGAGGATTCTTGAAAGTCAGACTTTTCCCCAGGTCTCCTCACATTCTGATTTTCTGCTTCCAATGAACCCTGGAGCTTTCTCCCTCCCACCTTTTGCACTGTGGCTGCCCCTTCACCCTGTCCTTAGTGTACCCAGAGAGAGTCCGCTGCTTTACCTCATTCCCCTAAACAGCACTGGTCCAAGGCCAGTATGTATCTTATAAAGACTCAGTCTGTGAGTGAGGTGGGGGTGGGGGACTACATCAGAGATAAAATGGAGTATGGGAAGCCAGTAGTCTTAAAGGCCTCTGGGCCCTCTTTCCTGGGCCCCCAGCCCAAATTGGGGCATGTTCACTGGTCTGGTCTTCTGTTAGCTGCTGCCTCAACTTCTTCTTGGGCCCCTTCACCCCCTTCAACCTCCTCATCTCCACCCTGGATCACCTAACCCCTGCTGTCCCCCCAAATCATGTGTGTGTGTGTGTGTGTATCTTTAGGGTTAAAGAGCATTCTTTTTTATTTTTTGAAAAAATTTTCCAACTTCATTGAGTTTTATTTGAAGTTCACTAAATTGCATACATTTAAAGTATACAGTTGTATCAGTTTGACATTCACATGGCCAGGAAAACATCATTTCCCAACAGTATTTCCGGCATCCTCGAAAGTTGTCATGTGCCCTTTTAATCCATTCCTCCCTCTGTCCCATCCCAGGCAACTGTGACCTGCTTTCTCTACATGGATTAGCTTGCATTTTCTAGAGTTTTAGAAAAATGGAATTATATATTCTTTTTTTGCCTGGCTTCTTTCATTTAGTATTATTTGGAGACTTTTATATGCACTGTTTGTATGAATAGTTTATTTGTCTTTGTTACTGAGTAGTATTTCATTGTATGGTTGTACTACAATTTGTTTATCCATTCATTTACCAATGGATTTGGGTTGTTTTTGATTTTGGCTATATATAAGGCTCCCAGGAACATTCATGTTCATGTTCAAGTCTTTGGGTTTCATGCTTTCCTTTCTCTTTGGTAGATACCCCTAGTGAAATGGTTGGGTTATATGGTTGATGTATGTTCAACTTTTTAAGGAACTGCTGAACTAACTGATTTCAAAAGTGGTTGTATCATCTTACACTCTCACCAGCAATCTATGAGCACTTCAGTTGCTCCCTGTCTTCACCAACATTTGATAATGGTCAGTTATTTTAAAGTTAACCATCTCAATATGTGTTGTTTGTTTAATATACTGTGATTTAGCTACCTTTCGCTGCATTTCTACCATGGGGAAGCATATGCTTAGGTTTATGGGGAGTAAAACCAGATTATTTCTGTTGCTCCAGTGAAATTACTAATGGTACCCCTTCCTACATACCAAAGTGTCCTGTTTTGGGTAATAAGTGGTTTCTCTACTCTTGGCCCAACTGACCACACACCCAGGCTGTCTTTACACAGCCGTACTTGCCCTCAAGGCATTCTGTTTAACAAAGACTATTCCTTCCTCTAAAAGGAATTTTACAGCTAAATGATTTTTTTCCTTGTTACAACCTGAGGGGTATAGCATAACCATAACTGTTCGTTGAAAACTTCTGTTCACACAAAAACCTGCACACTGGCGTTACAGTCGTTTTATAATTGCCCAAACTTGGAAGCAACCAGGACGTCCTTTACAGGTGAGTGGATAAACAAGCTGTGCCACATCCGTACGATGGAATTTTATTCATCAGTAAAAAGAAATGAGCTCTCAAGTTACAAAAAGACATGGGTAAATGAATGGATAAACAAATTGTAGTACATCCATACAATGAAATACTACTCAGTAACAATGACAAATAAACTATTCATACAAACAATGCATATAAAAGTCTCCAAATAATACTAAATGAAAGAAGCCAGGCAAAAAAGAATATATAATTCCATTTTTCTAAAACTCTAGAAAATGCAAGCTAATCAATGCATATTGATAATTGAAAAAAAAATTCTGAAAAGGCTACATGCTGTATGATTCTGATTACATGACATTCTGGAAAAGACAAAGCAATAGCGATAATAAAAAGATAAGTGGTTGCCAGGGGCTTGGGGGAATGAAGGGGTGGATAGGGGTGCGAAGGGGGTTTTTAGGGCAGTGACACTACTGCTGGTAGCCAAATGGTGGGCACATGACATTGTGCATTTGTCAAGACCCATGGAACTGCATGGCACAGAGTGAGCCCTCACGTAAACTATGGACTTTAGTTAATCATAGGGTATCAATATTGGTGCGTCAGTTTTAACAGATATGTCACACCAGTGCAGCATGTCCCTGCTGCTGAGCAGAGACGGTGCTCACAGTATGCTCTGATGTTCCTCTCAGCCCGCCCCAGGCCTCCCTGGCGGGATCCCCCTACGCTGCCCACATATTGCTGAGGTGGCTGGTGGCCCCTTCCCTATTCGCAGTTAACTGTGGGAGCTTCACATGTTTTTACAGAAGCCTGGTGACACTCCCAAACTCAGGGGACCCGACTGAGCTTTCCATGGGCCCTGTGGCCTGGGACAAATCACTGCCACCCACCTTCCTGTCGGAAAATGTGGTGGTCTGACCACTGATATTTAAGGATCCTCTGTTCTGAGCCCTCAGTAACCCTACGGTTGGGGATCCCACTTTCGTCTTTCATGATGACAGGAAAGAGAAGGGGTTGTTTTTCCAAGAATTATTTCCACTTTAGTGTCGTGCATCCTGCTTGCTTGGATGGCTTGCTTAATTCAGGTCCTATAATAAACTTTTGGGTAGATTCTGAATTACATGACCTATTAATAAGAAAAATAACTACCCTAATAAAAGGTACTTCGCTGACTTCATATCATCTCTGACTATCATGTGCCTTTAGTCACATTAATTGAAAAACTGAGGCTCAGAGAGGTGCAGCTGCTTGCCTGTGGTCATACAGCAAATACTGGCAGAGCCAGCCTTCAAATCTCATTTTTTTTTAATCCAATGGCTTTCTACACGCCACACTAGGAGGATAGTGTTTAGTTGCTTTTAAAAGTTATATTTTTTTAATGAAGAGGCTGCCCTGCAGGAGTGCCTGCAGAGGGGAATGAGCTTAAGAATTAATGAAACCTCTAATTCCCTGACACGTCAGAGAACAGCATGAAGTCGTAGAGTGGAGGGATAAGAATTCCTACCTGCTCAGGGGACTTCTCTGAAGCTTTAAGCAATTCTAAATATAGTTCTCCCAAAAAGACTACTAATCATTAGAGGAGCTAACGTTTGCTGATCACACACAATGTTGAGCCATTGCAATAATCTCATTGAATAGACACTATTTTGCAAAATTCTCACGTCCTCATGAGGCTGGTCGGTACTATAGCGACCCCCATTTCAGAGATGAGGGACCTGGGGTCTGGAGCGGCTGAATGCTTGGCCCCGGTAACGCCCCTGTGAGGCGTGGTGTGTTCAGGAACGCCATGGTTTCATTGTTTCACCATCTGAATTTTTCACGTGTTTATTTTCTCTCTTCTTCCTGTCCTGCTAGACATTTGTTTCGTAAGGACAGGGACCTTGTGTTTCTGGTTCACGTCTACACCCCAGCTACTCAACACAGCAGATGCTCCAGAACTATGTGCCAGGTAAGCGAGGGGGAATCATGGCATGGCTCCCTTTTAGGTCCTGGGCTCGTGTCTTGTAACAGAAGGAGAAGGGGCCTCAGGAACGGGAGCACGGGGTGTACCGGAGCAGGGTTCCACGGGGGGCTGAGGTGCTTTAAGAACTTTGGTGGAGAGTTTGAAATGAGCTTTGTGGAGCTGAGAGAAAAGCTTCGTTCTTGTCTTCCCCGGGCCTCCCCCAGTTCTTTTCTAGGGTCCCCCAGTGCCGGTCAGGATGGAGCCTCCACCCCCAAACTGGGGCAGAGTCCCATGGCGTGTGTGTGTCCGCCATCAGTTTCCTTCCCAGAGCTGTCCCTAATCGTTTCGCGCGTGGACTGTCCAGTGATGGGGACAGCGAAGGGCCCCAAGCAAGACAGCAAGGGTCCTTTGAGCTCATTTATATGCTCGTTGTTTCTGAAGTGAAAATAAAAATGTTCTGCTGCCGAGGCTGTTGCCCAGAGTTGTGATGATCTGGTAACAGACAGCAAGGTGTGAGGATAAAATCAATTTGAGACATTATTCACCATTTGGTGTTTGGAAAATTCCAGAATGTGGCAGTCCAATTGATTGAGGGAAGTGTTCAGAGTTCATCTAAGGTCACTAGCAATCAGTTAGAGCTAATAAAAATAACATTTTCCAAATGCTCGTGTGTCACTTATTGTGATGCTAAGGAGAATAAGCAGGTACTGCCTTTATCCACTTTGCTTTGGTCATTTGTATGTAAAATCTGTTTGCTCTCCCTCTATCCCCACAGCTTTATTGAGGAATAATTGGCAAATAAAATTGTATATATTGAAGGTGTACAACTTGATATTTTGGCATATGTATACATTGAGAAATAATCACCACAATCAAGCTAATTAACATATCCTTCACTTCACAACATAATTACCATTTTCTTTCTTTCTTTTTTCTTTTTTCTTTCTTTCTTTTTCTTTCTTTCGTGAGAACATTTGGGATCTCCTCTTTTTGCAGACTTCAAATACACAGTACAGCATTGTTAACTATAGTCACATTGCTATACATTAGAAATCTGTTTGCTTTTGTGTGTGTAAAGAATTCTTTGATTTTACTGAAAATGTATTACTAACATTGCACAAGAGACAAGAGATTGCCAGGGGTCTTCTGTTCCATTGGTGGTCCCAGTGAACCATGTTCCTTCTTCACCCCTTCCCAGGTATTCATGCCCTTGTATAGCCCTCTCCTTGGAGTCTGGCTGGATCTGTGATTTGCTTTAACCAGTAGAATGTGGTGGAAGTGATGCTGTGTCAGTTCTGGGATAGAGCTGTAAAAAGTCATGGCATCTTCTGCTTTTGAGCTTTGGAAGTCCTGGGCCTCTGTGTAGGAAGTGCAGCTACGCTACTGGAGAGACTGCATGGAGGGGCCTTGAGCAGAGGGAGAGGCCCTGAGACATGGAGAGAGAGAAAAGCACAGTTGTCCCATGTCTGTGATGAGCCCAAGTCTCCAATCAACTCGTTACCTCGATACAGTCCATGAGTGACCACTACTAGAAAGCTAGCAGAAGAACCACACAGCTGAGCCTTGGGCCAGATTGCAGAACTGTAATAAAATAATAATATTGTTTCTTTAAGCCACCAAGCATTAGGGTGGTTTATTATGCAGCAATTGATAACCAAAACATTACCTAAAAGCAAAGATTCTTAATCCTGGCTGCACATCAAGAAAACCAACAACCTTGAGATCCAAAAGTACCATCCCCCAGGGTCCTAACCCTTCAGAAATTCTGGTTTGATTAGTCTTGGATGAGACTATATATATATACCCACGCAGACACACACACTATATATGATTATACAAGGTCTGTCTGGAGAGTATCCAGCCATTGTTAATATAACAAGAACAGTTTGTGTGACATTGATGTAACTTGGCAGCCAAGGAGAGTGGACTGGAATGTGCATGCGTGAACAATGACGACTTCGCTGTGCTAGTCAGTGGGGCGCTAGACACCACTGAGTGAGCGTGTGTACTGTGTGGCTGTTGCACTCAAAATGACTGAGCAAGTAGAGCAACAACTCTGCATCAAATTTTTCGTTAAGCTTGAACATTCCTCCGCAGAAACTGCAGATGATTCAGAAGGTTTTCAGGGACAATGCAATGAATGCAGGCAAACGTCACTGTGGCACAAATGCTTCAAAGATGGTCGAGAATCTGTTGAAAGTGATCCACGTTCTGGAAAGCCTGCAACAAGCAGAACACCTGAGAATGTTGAACGGGTAGGGGTTAGATTAAGAGATGCTGGGAGAAGTGTGTGAGGTCCCAAGGTGCCTACTTTGACGGGGACTGAGGCGTCATTGTCCTATGTACAATGTTTCTTGTGTCTTGTATCTTCTTCAATAAATGTCTCTATTTTTCATATTACATGGCTGGATTCTTTCCAGACAGAATATATATATTACATATATTTTAAAGTTTTACTTAAAAGATCAACACACAGGACGAATGGGTAAACAAATTGTGGTAGATACATACCATGAAATACCATTCAGTCACAAAAAGGAATGAAGTACTTATACATGCTACAATGTGCATGAACCTCCAAAAGAAGCCAGTCACAAAAGGTCCTATATTGTAGGATTCCATTTATAAAAAAATATCCAGAATAGGTAAATCTATAGAGACAGAAAGCAGAGTGTTGGCCGCCAGGGGTCAGGGGAGGGAGAATGTAGGGGAGCGGGGTATGACTGCTTAGTAAGGATGAGATTTTCTTTCACGGTGCTGAGAATGTTTTGGAACGAGACAGAGGCTGTGTTTGCATGACATTGTGAATGTACTAAATACCATTGAATTGTTCACTTTAAAATGGACGTGAAAATGGTTAATTATATATTATGCAAATTTCACCCCAAATAAAAAAGAAACAGTGGAAGAAGGAGACAGAAGAAGAAGCTGAAGTGAAGCAACGTAGGAAGGACTCAACCTGACACTGCAGCTTTGAAGATGAAGGAAGGTGGCATGAGCCAAGGAATGTGATGGCGCCTGGAAGCTGGAAAAGACAAGGAAAGGAATTCCCTCCTAGAGCTTCCATGTAAGAATGCAACCCTGCTGGCACCTTAATTTTAGCCCAGAGAGACCTATATTAAACTTCTACAGAACTGTAAGATAATAAACTTGCATTTGTTTGAAGACATGAAAGTGCATATACAATAACATCAGCTTTCCTTTCTTTTTAAAACTTTTCTTTTTGGCCGGGCATGGTGGCTGATGCCTAAGTCCTAGCGCTCAAGGTCAGGAGTTCGAAACCAGCCTGAGCAAGAGCAAGACCCCATCTCTACTAATAATAGAAAGAAATTAATTGGCCAACTAAAAATACATAGAAAAAATTAGCCAGGCATGGTGGCACATGCCTGTAGTCCCAGCTACTTGGGAGGCTGAAGCAGGAGGATTGCTTAAGCCCAGGTGATTGAGGTTGCTGTGAGTGAGGCTGATGCCATGGCATTCCAGCCCAGGCAACAGAGTGAGATTCAGTCTCAAAAAAACCAAAAAACTTTTATTTTTTGGTATAACAGTTCTATCAATTTTAATATGTTTATATTTATGTAACCACACCTCAATAGGAAACAGACAATTCCATCACACACAAAATCTTCCTTGTGTTTCTCTTCGTAATCACAAACCCCTAACATCTGCCAACCATTGATCTGTCCTCCAACTCTGTGATTTTTTGTTCACCAGAACATCCTTCCTTTGTTCCAAATTTTAGGGGGAAAAGCATTTCTTTAGCACTTATTATATTTTAGGCCATATATGTTGGTGATTAATTCTCTTAGATTTTTTTCATTGAGACTGTATTTCATCTTTATTTCTGAAGTGTGTTTACACTGGATATAGAATTCAGGGTTGGCAGTTTTTTCTCTTTCAGCCCTTTAAAAATGTTCCATTTCCCTCTGGGCTGCAATTTTTTTTCTGAGAAAAACACAGTTATCCAAGTCAATGTTTCCCTTTACATAAAAGTGTCATTTTTCTCTGGCTGCTTTCTAGATGTTTTCTTTGTCTTCATTTTTTAGCAGTTTGATTATGATGAACTGACATGGCTTCCTTTGGGTTTATCTTATTTGAGGTTCATTGAGTGGTTTTTTTTAGCATATTATGGGGGTACAAGTGTTAAGGTTACATATATTGCCCAAGAGCTTTTTGAATCTGTGAGTTTATATTTTTCACCAAATCTGAGAAGTTTTTAGACCCATTATTTCTTCATATCCTTTTTTTAAACTACTCTTTCCCCTTTCCTTCTGGAACTCTAACAATATGAATATTAGACTTTTTTGTATTGTCCCACACATCTCCAAGACTCTGTTCATTGACTTTTAATTTTTGTTGTTCAGATTAGATACCTTCTATTGCTCTATCTTCAAGTTCACTGACTTTCTCCATTTTGCTATTGGTCCAATCCAGTCAATATTTTATTTCAGTTATTTATAATTTTCAGTTCCAAAAAAAATTTCCGTTTTGTTCTTCTTTGTATCTTCCATTTCTTTTTAACCTCTGAGACTTTTTAATCTTTCCATTTATTTCAACAGAATTTGCCCTTACTTCTTGGAACAGGGTTATAATAGCTGCAGATTGCTGACTGCAAGATGACACAAATGTTAAAACTATTAGAAAAAGATGCCAAGGTAGCTGTTTGAATATTATGTTATGAGAATCTGTGTCTTGTTTAACTCCTAATGTGAACTTTGAATTTTGTTTAGTTTTGCTTTAGCAGGCAATGGATCGGGTTAGGCTCCAGCCTCAAGTCCTTGACCCACTTTCTGTGAACAGAAGTGGTTTCAGTATCCGTCCAGTTTTCAAAGACTTTGCAGTGCTATTTGAAGCTGTTGTGTCACTCAGCGGCCATTTGGAGGCCTGAATGATTGATAGTCTAACCCATGGTTCAGTTATCAATCCATGTGCAGTTTCGAAGGGACTGCTCCCATGTGGGAAGCCCAGGAGTTCCTATGGGAAATCTCCCTTCTTTCTGAGATCATTCTGACACGTTTAGACCCCCGAAGCCCCACTTTTTGTCCTCTGGCTAGAAGGCTGGGTCTTTAGTTTCCCTATTCTGATGCACACTTCCCGTGGCTGTACCTGAGTACGGGGACAAGCAGTGGATGGGCAGAGAGAGAAGAAACAATGCTATTTTGCCCCACACTCCTGGGTCATGGCTTCTCTCATCAGAGGGAGACTCCTGGCCCTTAGCACTTCAGGCTCTCCTGGCCGCCACCATTGCTGTTGCTGCTGCCGCCTGGGGGGTGGGTGGGAGAGAATGGAGAAAAGATTGAAAAACCGGGGGCTCTCCCCACTTTCTCTGACCGTTAGGACCCCTGCCCGGACCTTAAACCAGAAAGCGAGGGTTCTTTTTAGAGCTCTGCTTGTGTCTGGTGTGAGCATGTCCAGGTGTCAGGCCTGTAAGGCCAGGCCAGGTGGTCAGGGGTGGGAGTCAGGAGAGACTCACCCCGTGTTTGGTGATGCACCAGAGTCTGATCCCTTTCCCCAGTCCCCCTGCTCCTGTTTAGTTTTCCTTGTCCTCAGGTAGCTGCTCCATGTGTTCTGTCCAGGGCTTATTGTCACATTCAGCGGGAGAGACAGGGTGGGGTGTGCTTACTCTAGCTTGCTCAGTCAGAACCCATATATATACATATATTATTTTAATAATAAAAAAAAATATCTTTCTTTCATTTTTTAAATTTTTTAACATAGTACCCTGAACTTAAGAAGAACCCCTATATATATATATATATAATTTTAATCCAACATTATAAGTGGTTAGGAAACTTTGCCTTTGACAATAGGCACAATGACCAATGCTAATTGCCAGGATTGCTTCCATTTGGCCTTCAGCCGTGTTCCTCCTGCTGGATCGGGCCTCTGGGCCACCTCAGGGCTTGGCTGAGGCTGGCACTGAGGCACACCAGCACCAGGCTGTGCTGGGCACACCTGAGGCCGGGCTACTTGAGGCAGTGCCTGTGTCCTCAGGTTCCTGACCTTACCTCCCAGCCCCCCACCGAGCAGTCCAGATGCTAAGTAAGGTGGCCTTATTGCAGCTCGCCCGAGCCATGGCAGAGCATCAGGGAGAAACTGGAGCTGGGAATGCCTGGCTGAGAAGTTTGGCCATGCCTTAATAAGTAATAGGAAGCCACTGAAGGTTCTCAAGGAGCAAAATCATGTAACCATCATCATTAAAATAATAACAGCTCACATTTGTTAAACACTTGCTATGTGCCATATACTATGCCTTGTGTTTTTATAAATATTATTGCACAGACGTTGCTACATTAAGTCTTCCAAGCAGGTTGTGGGATACATATTGTGTTGCTTCATTTGCAGATGAGAAAATCAGTTCCACTTGGAAGTAGCAAATGTCACTAACATTGAGGGGAAAGTATCATCCAACTTTATGCTGAGAAAGAGAAGAACTGGATGACCCCAGACCCTTATAAGCTGGCGACCTTGAACATCAGTTCCTTCTTCTGCAAAAAGAAGAACATCGATTCCTTCTTCTGTATCCCACCTGTGCAGATACAATATGATTATGAACGTAGCATGCTTACCTGTGTGGCAGGTGTGTGGGAGGGACTCAGTAAGTCACCATTTTTTGTCTGTTTCTCTTCTTCAGCCCGGCTGAACCAGCACATAGAGTTCTACTTGATTCTCCGAGGACTGGCAGGTCTCCTGGACCAGACTTCATCTTTAGTGATAATTGGAGGCTTATTATCACCCAGAGATATGGCTTGACAGCTATTTTACACTTTACCAAGACAAACAAGTAGCGTGTCTGGGTGGCAGTCAGGTGGCCAACACATTTAAATTAGTCGGCATGACCCATACGTTACCTACAGTCAAGTGTTTTTAAAGACCTCATCTCATCTATCTAAACCATTCCCTTAAAATGTTATTCTCCCAATTTCTGTAAAGAGACAGGGGGGGAAAAAGGTAATATGTACTTGCCTCTAGCATTTTCACTTGATGTGTGAGGTCGCACTTAGAAGCCGCTTCCACACATTTGGTCAAGAGTTCAGGGACAGGGAGAAATAATGTCCCCGTCTGAGAGGGGGGAGCCAGTGACTGGGGCAGTAATTTTCCACCGTGTTCAGTGAGAACCCTGCAGGAGAAAGGGGTAGAGGAGTGCGTGGGAGGGAAAGGAGCCAGGCAGCAGCACTGTGGAGACACAGGGACCGAAGCTGATTGTCTTGGGCTTGTCCGTGTAGAATGTTCTGGGAACAAACTAAAGTGGAAGGCATATCAAGTGAGGCGGGGGTCAGGGGGGAGCCGTGGAACCAACAGGGATTGCGACATCAGGTGAAGCCTGTTCTTAGTAAGCACTTGCTCCTGACAAGCTGTTTAACCTGTTTGAGCCTTGATTTATTTATCTACAAAGTGGGCATTAAAATGCCTGCCTGTTATGACTGGGGAGAGCAAATGAGATCACGTGCGTGTCTGGCGCCGTGGGACTGGCGCCTGGGGATGCCCAATGGTGCTACTGTCCTTCACACCAGATGTCAGATGGGCCCCATCGGCCCTCCGAGATCTAGCGGAGGGGACTGCAAATCCCGCCCCGCCAGTGCCCGGCTGGGATCTCCCCGAAGCCCCAGGCACAACGTTGCGCTTCCACTCCGCTGCGCTCTCCCCAGTCGGGTTTCTCCTAAACCCGGATGTGCACTCTGCTGAACACTCACACCGCAACCCTCACACACACACACACACGCTCACGCTCTCACACGCTCACACACACACACACACGCAAGCTCGCTCGCACACACTCTCATATGCGTACACACTCATATCCACACACACACCACTCTCACACACACACACTCACACACTAACAACACTCTCACAAACAACACACTTCACAACACACCACTCTCACCAACACACTTCTACACAAACCTACACAACACACACTCTCACACTGCAATCTCACACTCCAAACAATACACACTCACATCATTACACATCATCACACACACATCAACCAAGCTCACACAACACACTCTCACACACAACACACTTACACACAACCTAACACACACAATCTCACATGCAATCTCACACTCAACAATACACACTACGCATATTAACATAACTCACCACACACTAACACACAAGCTACACACACCACTACCACAAACACTATCACACACACTACAAACACACACACTTCACACACCACTCTCACCACACTTCACACACACATCTCCAACATCTTCAAACCAAACCTCACACACACTCTCACACACTCACACCAACACTTCACACAACACTTCACACACAAACACTTCACACAACTTCACACACACTTCCACACACACTCACAACACACAACTCTACACACACACTCACACAACACATTCACACACAACCTCTCACACAACACACTCAAAACTCTAACACACATTCACAAACACACTCTCACACAACACTCCAAATCACACACCTCCACACACACTCTCACAAACTCTCACACACACTCAAAACAACTTCACACACACACTCACAATCACACTCTCACAATTCACACACAACACCATCTTCCAACACACTCACACACATCACACACACACTCAACACACAATCTGAACACTCTCCACACACATCACAAAACATTTACACACACCACTCACACACACACTCTACACCACACACCATCTACCACACATCTCACAACACACTCTCACACACATCACAAACCACACACCTCACAACACACTCACAACACTCTACACACAAATTCTACACACTCAAAACAACACACTCTCCACAACATACAACAACACTCTCAAACACACATCAACACACACTCTCACACCACACACTCTCACCACACACAACTCACACACACACATCTCACATGCAATCTCAACTCAACACAATACACATACCACTCATAACACATACCACTACACACACACTCACACAAAGCACAACACTCTCCACCACACACACTACAAACTCTCCACACCACCACAAACAACACACTTACAACACACTTACACACCACTAACAGCACACATCTCACAACACACTCTCTCACACACATTCACACACACACTTAACACACACACTTTAACACCGACACTTCACAACACACTCTCACACAACACCACTCCTCACCACACTCTCAACACACACGCACTTCACACACACATCCACAACACAACTCACACCACAACTCTCACACAACCTCTCAACAACACACTCTCAATCAAACACTCTCACAAACAACATCTAAACACACACACTCTCACACACACACACTCTCACATGCAATCTCACACTCCACACAAAACAACTCACGCATCTTACAACATACACTCAAACACACTCAACACACAAGCACACACACCACTCTAACACACACAACTCTCAACACAACTCTCACACACACTCTCACACACCTCACACACAACACTCACACACACTTCAACACACTTCACACAACATTCAACAACACCTCTCAACACACTCTCACACACACAACTCTCACCAACACACACCTAACATGCAATCTCACACTCCACACACAATACACACTCACACACTCACATACACATACACTCACACACACACTCACACACAAGCTCACAACACACTCTCACACCACAAACTTAACCAACATCTCACACACATCACAAACACCAACACTCTCAAAACACTCTCACTACACACACTCTCACCACACACTTCTCACACAAAATCTCACACACACACTTCACACAAACACTCAAAACACTCATACACAATTCACCACACAACTTCACACACACCACTCTCACAACAACTTCAAAACACTCTCACACACACACTCTCACACACACACACTTTCACACACACTCTAACACACTCACACAACACACTCTCAAACACCTCTCACACACCTCAAAACACACTCTCACAACAAACTACAACACACACTCTCACACCACAGAATTACACACACACATTCACACACCACTCACACACACACATCTCACACACACGAACACTCTCAACACAATTCACATGCAATTCACACTCCACACCAATACACACTCACGACACTCATATACAAACCTCACAACACACTCAACAAAGCTCACACACAACTCTCACACAACACTCCACACCAACTCACACAACACTCTCACACAACTCACAAACACACCACACTCTACACACACCACTCAACACAACTTTCACAAAACACTCTCAACACACTCTCACACCACACTCTCACACAAACACGTTCACAACCTCTCACACCACACACTTCACCACACACACTATACACACACTCTCACCACAACTTACCCGACATCTCACAACATCTCACACACCACTCTCAACAACTGCACAAACACAAATCTCTCAAACACACCAAAACACACTTCTCACACACACCTCTCAACACACACTCTCACACAATCACCACACATCTCACACAACACACACACAACACACTCTCACAACAACACTCTCACACACACACTCTCACCACACAGCTTCAACACACATCTCACACACACACACTCTCCCAGCAATCTCACACTCAAACCATAACACTCACACACTCCATAACATACACTCCAACACAACACTCCACACAGCTCACTCACACCACTCTCGGTACAACAATCATATCACACACATCTCAACAACACACAACAATTCACACTCCACACAGAATACACAGTCACACACACTCACATACACATACACTCACACATTCACACACACTCACACACAACTCACCACATACACTCTTGTTACTTACACATCATATCCACAACACTTCCACATCTACATCACACAGAAATTACACGTCACACGCTCTCACTCACACTCACACTCTCACACACACTCACACTCTCACACACTTAGTTACATCTGTATTATCATCACGAATCAACTATGTAGACCTAGTAATATAGCATCCGGGAAAGTCTTTCAACACGTGTTTTTTTGTGTTTTTTTTTGAGACAGAGTCTCACTTGTTGCCCAGGTAGTGTGTGTGCATGGTGATCAGCCTAGCTCACAGCAACCTCAACTCTGGGCTAAGCCAATCCTCCTGCCTCAGCTCACCCAGTAGCTGGATACAGGCATGTGCACATGCCGGCAATTTTTTCTATATATATTAGTTGGCCAATTAATTTCTTTCTATTTGTAGTAGAGATGGGGTCTCGCTCTTGCTCAGGCTAGTTTTGAACTCCTGATCTCGAGCAACATGTCCACTCACAGATTATAAACTCTTAACAACATAGTGCATCAGTGATGGTCTGAGCCTGCTCTTTTGGACATTGGTCTACAAACACTTCACTATACACACATTTACACACACACACACACACACACACACTGCCTCACACACCATCCACTGGAGACCTCTGTGTGTGCTCCAGCTTTACTGAAACTTCGGGGATATGGAGGAGGTTTACAATAAAAACACAGTAGTACAAAGCCGAATACTGTTTCTCCATGAAGTCTCTTAGGCATTTCTGCCCCTCCGGGCTCTACTTCCTGCCACATTACTCCTGCCTCTATGGACCTCTCTGCCTCTCCTCTC